TGTCCTGCAAGAGTGTCCCACAAGAGTGTCCCAAATGAGTGTCCCACAGGAGTGTCCCACAAGAGTGTCCCGTATGAGTGTCCCACAAGAGTGTCCCTTAAGAGTGTCCCACAATTGTGTCCCGCAACAGTGTCCCACAAGAGTGTCCTACAGGAGTATCCCACAAGAGTGTCCTACAAGAGTGCCCCACAAGAGTTTCCTACAAGAGTGTCCCACAAGAGTGTCCCGCAACAGTGTCCCACAAGAGTGTCCCGTAAGAGTGTCCCACAAGAGTTTCCTACAAGAGTGACCCACAAGAGTGTCCCACAAGAGTGTCCTACAAGAGTGTCATTTGGACATATGTAGCTTTTTGAACGTGTTTGCATTCGGGTTCGTGGGCTCCATCTTGTTTTCTTCTTGGTTTTTTCACTGAGTGTCCACTAAACATGTTGGCCAATGAACATCAAGTCAATACCTGTCACAAAAAGATCATCAATATGTAAACAACACATACCAACAGGCTATTCTTAAAGTTGCTACAACGTGCTCCAACAACTCCCAAAGGGCATTCTACGTGCCTGTGCCTGGTGTGTTTTTGTTGTGGAGTGTTCAGATGAAGAAGTCATGCAGAACTCAAAATATGTTTCTGGGCGGGTTATCCTGTTGGTACCCACAATGGGCCACTTAGTTGGTGTGCCTGGCAGATGTATTCAGGTTGCAGAAACGACTGCGCAGGCCTGTTCTTGCCTTTTGAACTGCAGGTGACGAAGACGAATTTGTAGTCATTTGCTTAGCTGCTCAGACTCATACCAAAGTCTGTCACAACCTTGCTTGATTTGGCTGCAATGTATCCGTGGAGGCAAGTGTTGGTCAGCTCGTGAATGAAGTTTGTGGTATGGGTTTTGCCCTTGGGAAGGCGAGTTCACAGTCACAATGTGTGACATCACAATCATATCTGACAGGTTCGACTAGGTGAATGCTTCGGGCGAATGCTCACGTGATGGGCCTACACAAAGAGTTGCATAATGTCCTATTGACACTAAGTAGACCATTCATGATGGAAACAAGCTGCAAACATTTAGGCTGGCTTGCGATCATCGGGTGAAGCTGGAAACCAGCTTTGTGACGGTGGCGCTTGGCCCTCAGCCAGTGGAAGTGAGGAGAGGTCTTGAACTGGTTTCAATATGTTTCAAGTTAAACAAAAACTTAAAATGTATCCTTCCTTCAACGGCCGAAAAAAAGACGCCACCCACCTCAATGCAAGAAAGGCCTTCCAGACACGGACGCAATGATCTTTTGGCCGCGCAATCCCCGGCTGAGCTGACCTCTTGTAGCCAAAGGTGGTAGTGGACGCCCTGTCAGCAGAGGTTTTGGCTGCGTTTGCCATACGCATCCTTGCCTCAAGATCGTCGGCCTCGGAAAATATATTGCTCAGTGAATGGGCCGGCGCGGTACCGGTCTCCTAGTTTTCGTGCCTTTTTTGTAAACACCGATTCTTGGTCAATGCCACCAAACGAGCAGTTCTTGTGGAAGAAAGGCAGTTGAACATGACCCTCACAACATTCAGGGAGCGCAGGCCCATGCATTTGACGGCCTTAAACGTCTACCTCTTTGCGGAAGACGTGCAATGGATCGGCACGCGCTCCAGGAGTCCAGCAAGCTCATACGAAAGACTAGCGCCTCCACAATGGTCGCCCAAATAGTAACCTAGCAGTGGTCTGTGACGTGATTGGAGCACCAGAGCGCGCGATGGATGGAGGTGTGCGTCATTTGGACCGCTCAGATCGCTTGCAAACAAGGAAGTGGATGGAAATCTACTGTGGTTCCACAAAGCAGATCAGAACCGTTTCAACTTGACAAATATCCAGGCTAAACTGCCCTCACAGAACGGACACGCACGCCCGCTAGCTTGCAATTGAGAACGGGTTGGTCAGGAACGCCGCGAGGGGATCAGAGGATATCCTCTGTGAGCGGCCTTGAACAAGCTGTGGAGCTTCACCTTTTGGAAGGAGCTCCCCTTTCAATGCAGAAAGTTGTTCTTTCTTTTTGTTCCTCACATGCTAGTGTGGGGTTCCTACTTTTTATTGCATCATCCCTGCATCATCCCAGTCCTCCTCCTTCTTCTCCTCCTCCTTCTCCTCCTCCTCCCTCCTCCCGCCCTCCTCCCATACACTAGCTGGCACACACCAAACTTACGCGTGCATACATGCACACACTTAGATCCATGCTCGCAAGAGCTATACCAGTTTGGAAATTCCCGTGAGCTAGTTGCTGAATACTTAGCGCTTAGCCGTAAAAGAGAAGGGTCAGCTCAACAGAAGGTTTCAACAAGGACTCATTAGCACTTTACGATCGAATTAAAAAGAGGGGTGGCTACCAGCTGCGGCTGACAATGCGCCAAGGTGCAGTGCACCACTGCAGGTACGTTTTCCAAGGAGACGTGCAGCGATCCCCAGCGATTGTTGCAACCCTATGCAAAAGACGAAGTAAAAGTTCCTGAAGGTTAGAGGCAAACAGACAATGTGGCCATTCACCCTTGGAGCGGGAGGTGACACACACTTGAGATTATGCGTACTGATTTGGTTGCGGCTTGCCACAGGCAGCCAATTGAAAAACCAGAGGATTCAAGTAAAAACAACAGCAAATGATTTCCCTCACAGTGACGAGAACCCTGCAAACCTCCAGGCTCAAACTGCAAGCTCAAAATCAAAACCAAGAGCGTGACTGCCGATGCAAACAAGTGCGATGGCCAGAATTCTTGTTGCAGGGACAAAGGAGCCCATGAGGAAGCAAGTGGTAATCACAGCAGGTACGTCTGGCTGATCAGGCCAGATTTCAGCACGGAGCTTGACCCTCTTCGTTGGATCACCAGTCAAGTCCGTGGGTGATCCCCCTGCAAATTATAACAGCAAGAACAACGGATCCCTGTGACTCCAAGGGTTACACACGCACGCCTCCCCGAGGGGAGGCAGAAACTAAGTGACGAACAAATGTGCGTTTGTGCGCGCAGCATGGACAAAAAGATGAAGACATGAGAAAGAAAGAGGACAGATGGGACAAAAGTGTGTGTGGTTGCAAACGAAAAAGGAACCAAAGGCACAGGGACAAACGGTGAGCCAAACCTCCTTATCAGAACCTTGGCGACCTAAAACCTAAGTGTACAGCAGATGCGCGCGTACAGACTAAGGCCTGGACCGATGTGCACGCAAGAGAAAATTACACCAGCATAGACCCCAAACAGGGTCAGCATTTTTGTCGGCGTCGGCGTCAACTCCGAAAATTCCAATGTTGGTGGAAACGAATGCAAGTATACATTTCTAAAGCCTCCAGCTGTTTGGGAACTGCACCTAAACAATAAATGTTTGAAAACAGTTCCTGATGCCTGTGTCACACGCGCAAAACGATGGGATACCGGATATATATATATATATATCGTGAGGAGATCCGATGGTGATATCGCATTTCGATCGCTGTGTCACAGTTGCATTCATAGCCACATGAAAACATACCCAGACAAGGCGGTGGAGATAGGAAAAACGGCGTGGCCAAGCAGGGGACAAGCCCCTGGTAAGACGGTGATAGACGGGCCCACTACGTGGACAAGCAGGACAGGCAGACCTGGACCAACAACAAAGAAGGACACGGGGTTTGCGACCGTGGCACAAGGACAGCGCAAAACACCAGGACGACGCACATGGCTCGAAAACGTGGCCACTAGAAGCAGGAGGAAGACACAATGTTTGCCAGCGCGGCCAAAGGACGAGGAGGACAAGAGGAGGAGGCAAGGAGGACAAGAAGAGGACAAGAAAAGGACAAAAGGAGGTGTTCTCGTCTAGTCTGGGCGCGCTCCAGGCGCGCCCTGTGGGCCTTGCCGGGAGTGTGTTTTGCAGCGCTTGGGAGCGCGTCCCAGCTTTAAAGACTGAAGGACTATCAAGCTACCCTAGAAGAAGAATAGTTCCGAGTGGCTTGGAATTGTTCACCAAACAGTTTACTGTTTGGGTTGTGTCTTAGGAAAACAGGAGCTGGCCACACTGGCCGCGCCCCTGAATTGTTTTTCGCGTCGGTCCTCTTCTCCTCCTCTTGTCCTCCTCTCCTCCTCCTCTTGTCCTTCTCTAGTCCTGTTGTCGGCCTCTGGCTGCCTTTTGTCCTTCTCTTCTCCCCCTCTTGTCCTTCTCTTGTCCTCCTCTTGTCTCGTCCTCCTGTCCTCCTCTCCTTTTGTCCTGTTCTTGTCGTCTGGCTGCGCTGGCCAACCGTTCTTCAAACTGTGCTGCCAGCGCGTTCCAGAGCGCACCTGTAACGTGTCCTCCAAACACCTGCCGAGCGCGCCCGGAGCGCGCTGGCAGCAGGTAAACAGAGCGCGCCGGAGCGCGCATCCATAAGCAAGCACACTCCCCGAGCGTGCCTGGAGCGCGCTGGCGCACACCCAAAAAATGTTTGAGAAGCTTGCGGCAAAATTGGATGGGCAAGGGAGCGCGCGCAACGTGAAGCAAGCGCTCCAAAGCACGCTCCCCAAGGGCGGGCCGAGCGCGCTGACCGAACGTTGCAGAGTCCGCCCTGCAACGCCAAGACGAGGGCAAGAGAAGAGGCAGCCAGAGGACAAGAACAGAGGAGGAGGAGGAGGAGAGGAGGACGGGCGCGGCCAGCCAGTCGAAAATTTTCAATAAACTGGGAACTATTTGTGAAATGCGCTCCCAAGCGCGACCAACAGCGCGCCCCCAGCATGTTCTACACCGCGCGCCCAAAATAACTCAAGAGGGCACCCCTCTCGCCCAACAGATTGATTCAAAAAATTTAGGGCTCACAGGAACAGCTATACACCTTTCACCAGAGCGAGCTGCCAACGCCTTCCAGACAGAGCGCGCCCAGAGCCAGTCGAGCGCGCCTGGAGCGCGCCTTTGGGGCGCGCTGCCATCGCGCTTTATACATAACTGTTCCTGGAGCGCGCCCAAAACTCTCTCCACGCGCCTTCAAGAAGCAACCTTTAAGGAATTGCGCGCTAATTGAAGAGAGGGCACCGAACTTCAGAGCACGCTGCCTGCGCGTTCCATGCAAACACCTGCCGAGCGCGCCCGCAGCGCGCTGCCAGCGTACATACAGAGCGCGCCGGAGCCTGGAGCGCGCTGGCGCACACCCAAAATGTTGAGAAGCTTGCGCAACACGCTCCGCGAAACAACAGGACGACGAGAGGAGCACCAAGTGGCGGAGCCCAGCCAGAGTTCACGGGCGCGGTCAAGACAAGGAGGACAAGACCCGGACACGACAAGGACAAGAGGAGGACAAGACCTGGACACAGAGCCGGGCGACAGGAGGGCGGCCACAGAGTTCACTGAGTTCAGGGGCGCGGCCAAGAGGAGGACAAGGCCTGGACACAGGGCCCAGCCACAGAGTTGACAGAGTTCAGGGTGCGGCCAAAAGGAGGACAAGAGGAGGACAAGGCCTGGACACAGAGCCCAGCCACAGAGCCCAGCCACAGAGTTCAGAGAAGGGACACAAAAGGACAAGGCCTGGACTCAGAGCCCAGCCACAGAGTGACAAGGCCTGGACACAGGCGGCCCAGCCACAGAGTTCAGGGGCGCGGCCAGTGAGTGTGGCTACCTCTTTCTTTCTAAGATAGAACCCCAACAGTAAACTGGTTGGGGAAAAAGGAGTGAGATGACAGGACATGAAGCAAGGAAAGACATGAAACAGAAGGAGGAAAGAAAGTGTAGGTGAAAGGGGAAAAATGAAACGGGGAGATGGAGGGGCCGAGAACCAATGAACCCAAACCTCATTAGAGAACCAAATAAAACCTGAAAACCCAGCCTCGTTGAACGTGTACGTGCTGTGTGTGCACCTGAGGCGGTGACAGGTTCCAATGAACCTAGAAAATGCTTTGACCGCTCTGGTCACCTTGTGCCACGCCCAAATGGCGGCCGACTTGAGACCGCTGTGGTCACCTAAAGGCATGCCAAAACGGCGGCCAGCTTGGAATTCAATAATTCGTCAGGTCTTGGCAGGCAACTTTGGCTCAAGCCTCCTACGCTCGCTGCGAGCTGCTCTGTATCCGGGGAGGGGATACATTCGACAAACCCCCGTTCGACGGGTCCACAGGGGGCACTCTCCGGGCTCACCCTGGGCTGGCGAGAAGCCAGACACACTTGAGATTACGCGTACTGATTAACAACAATCCGTGCGATCCCCCTGCAAATCTAATTAACAACAAAAACAAAGAACAATCCAAACGGATGACTGTGACTCCAAGGGTTACACACACACTCAGCAGTATCGGCGCTCCCTCATCGGATTTTGCTGCGCACTAGTCGATCACACTCCTTTGGTGGGTGCCCCTGAGCCAGGTGAACAAGCGCTCGCTCGATGGCTGCGGGTGGAAAGGTGTATTTCCTGATGCGGTGGGCGCGTGAGACAAGACCTGAAAGGCGCAGGCGCTGCGAGCCAGCCGTGGTATGTATGTGATTGCGCGGTGGTCCAGGTTGAAGCCCAAAAGGTGCATGTCTTCAACTGGTTCTAATTCAATGGCATTTCCGAATAAATCTGGGTGAATGAGGGCATGAATGCCGAGGGCCGAGGTGCTGAAGGAAGGTTTCGTTGAAGGTGATAAACCGGTTGCCCACATATCAGTAGTAAGCAAAGTGGATCTGGCTGTGATCTGTCAGGCTGTGATGTATTTGGGCCCATGAGTGTTCGATGAGAGTAATAGCCACGTTGCTGGAAACAACAATGGCTTAAATCATTGTACGTCCAGAAGGCGTCCTTTCCGGATATCACCGCAGTACAAGGAGTGTCTTCGTTGAGTGGTGACTCCAAGACCGCGCGCCACTCCCCTGCTCAATTGAAACTCCTTATCAAAAAGATCTCTATCGAAGAGCCTCTTGGAAACAGAGGTGTGCACACACACACAGACACGCCAACTTACACACACAGCATAACAGCCTACACACATCATAACCCCCCCACTCTATCCACAAACGTTCTCATCGGGATTTTCACTTAGCTTGTCATGTTGGGTTGACCGATTCTTTAATTGTTGTGATTTTTATTGGCTTGGTGAAAGCTCACTGTCACTATGTCGCACGCACGCCTGGTGGATGGGCAGATGCGCCAAAGATGCGCAGACCAGGCTTCGATATGGACGCGGAGAACCGCGTCAAGACAGACAGATGGAAGAGGGTCTCTACTGGACATGGATCCTATATAGAAGGCTTGAGGCGGATATAAAACTATGCCCCAAGAGGAGCGGCGCCGAACAACTGTAAATGGACTCAACGCGCCAAGTCTGAAGGCGAAACCACAAAGCGCACCTTGTTGCTGTCCATTCCAAAAACGCACATGGTGAATATAGTCTCATTTGTTTGGCGTTTAGTGCTCGCAAAGTATCGCCAGCTACGCTTGCAGCAAGCAGTTAGGTCTTGCGATTGTTTGGCAGTTCGCGTCATGATTGCAAGCGTGGCTGCCACACAAGCCGAGGACAAGCATCATTGTTCTCGAGGCAGGGCGGGCCACAGAGCACGAAACTTGCGCTGCGGCCGCCTGGCTTTCCGATCAAACCCAGCGAACCCAAACTGTTGAGCTACCGTCAACCGGAAATGGTTGGTGTTTACGGACTTGTTTGATTTTTACCGTGCAGTGTTTGTTGTGGAGCTTTCCCGCTGGCAGGGTGTGGGTCGTCAGCTCAACCCCATCGCTGATTTGGCCGCAGCTGCGAGGCAAGCCGTCTAAAGAAAAGAAGGCACCATTCCGTTTTTGACTGTTCGAATTGGTTGCGCAGAATGCTGTGAGGCCTTTGCTTGCAGAGGCGGTTGCCAATGTGTGGCGGAGCAGTTGAATTGCAAGCGGGTACAAAGCACGCCCTGTCTGGAAAAAGTCTGCAGTCTTCATGGTCATGTCAGTTGCCCAGGCCTTTCGCCAAATTTTGGTGACTCAACATACCCGTTCCAACGTCGAAAGGAAAATCAACAGGGCTTGGACCAAAGATTCCACATTACAAACTCTACAACCTTGCAACACACAGGTCACAGGACCGGTTCTATGTATTACTCATCGTTCTTTGTCTTTTGCCTCAAGCTGAAGTTGGGCTGAAGTTATCCCACAGCCCACGATGTCAATCCGCAAACCGAACTCAATGCACCTTGCCGGCATAGGGATTGCTCTTCAATCTAGATGTTGCGCTGCGAATTTGCTGAATGCATTTTGTTTTACAATGTCTTCAGGTATTAATGCGGCAATGTCAATGCTGGAGGGCGGTCGCCCTAGCCTCAAGCGGGGGTGAACATCAGTATCGCAACTTGCACCTTCAGGCTTGGAAGGGCAAGGTCTTTTGCTGCTTGGAAGCCTTGCAGCCCTGTGCTCATTGCTGCAGAGCTTTAGATAGACGAGCATCTTTCATTGGCGATCCCTGGGCTGCGGTTGGAAGGTGACCTGTTTCCTCGAGCTTCAGCAGCTTCTTCTTTTGGCGTTGTGTTGCTTGCTGTACATACTGCCTGAGACCCAGCTGTGAACCTATTGGTTGTTGGCGTCAAAATACCTCAAGATGAGCCACCCAGGTCAAGGAATGGCTGGATGAGGCTAAAGCTGAGGCGATTGCAGCGTTTCCCAAGCGGGTAAAATTGTTGGGCGCGCGGCGCTGGCCAGGTACGCAGCCGTTCCAGCTTTTTCCCAAATACCGCCGCGCCCATCACGACCTCCATTCCGGCCTACCAGCCAGTTGCGCTTGACTCAGCGATACGAGTTTGGGCATGGGCATTTTATTTGTATACATAGATGTATACGGTACATGTACCAAGTATATGTACGTAACAGGTCAATCCATAAAACAAACCGAACGAACGAGCGTATGCCTACCTACCTACATACATACTCAAGCCACGAGCGGATCAAGCTGGCGCCCGCGGGTGGTGCACAAGGCAGCAGACCCCAAGTGCTACCTCATTCGACTGAGATTTGCAGGGCAATCCACAACGTTGAGGTCTTTGATTACAAAAGGTCCGTCGCCCGTGATCGCAGGGGATGTTGCACGCGTGATCACTTCTAGGGAGACATTTTTTTGCTTTGATCTTACTGTAGTTCCTGCAAAGGCTTCTCAGTAAAGAACGGCTGCCAACTTCAACTGTCCAACCAGCATCAGCATCATCAACATCGCCATGACAATCATCATCACCAAGAGAGAGGTAACAGCAGCAAGCTTCCAAGACAGGCCCATCAAGGACCTCAAGCGTGGGGGGAGGAGGCCCCCCCCGACCCCGGTCGTCGAGGTTCGAAGTTCGCGGTGACATCGGCCGCGCGAATGGTGGCCATCTGGCGAAGAACCGAAACGGGGAGGACCTCGGTAGAAGACCAACCTAGCCAACTCAAAATCTGGGATTGCGGAGATTGATGGGCGTGCAACCCACTAAAGATTAATGCCACAGAATGTGGTGAACAATAGGTTCTTGATCCTGGCCGCACTCTGGACAGGTCGAGGGGGATGGGCTGATGACCGTAACGGGCCGTGACTGCAGAAGTCGTCGCGCCGCCACAAACAATGGCAGCGCCACGGGTGTCACTCTGGGCAACAAGATTTTGACGTTAAGTTATTGAGAACATCCGGGCAAGGAACGGCGTTCTCTGCACGTGCAAGCACTGCTCCCTTCAGGATCCAAACCACAGGGCCTCGCGATCAAGTGAACCTGCGCCGTAACACCAGACTCCACCGGCGATGCTAGAAGCATGACCTAGAAAGAAGATCTGGCGCAATTCTTTTGATGCACACTTCGCGAGGCAGGCTTGAATGGTCCATGCCGCCAGACCCTCCAAGTGAGGCACACTTGTATCAAAAAACTAACAACCCTCCATAGTCCTGGGAGTGTCCAATGGCTGCGCAGCATGGTAGCCATATGTTGTCCACTGAAGGGATTGTGTCCAGCGGGTGCATTGCAACAAAATCAGTTGCAATCCATGGTGGCCCATGGACCAAAGCTAGGTGGCGCAGCATCCAGGGAAGGAGGTCCATCCCTGAAAAGAACACGTCCTCTATAGCTCGTGTACCCGTAGTGGGCCAAGCGCTTGTGCGCTCTACTAAAACTTCTTTTCGCTTTGGCACTCAACGAACGGGCAGGCGCACAACCAAAGCATGGTCTCTTTCACTACCAGTCATGGCCCTGGTAGAACCCTCACCCCACGAAAGGGATGCCATCATCGAAAACCACCCATCCTTGGGAGACGAGACCGACACACTGGAGGTGACCATACTGATCTTGTCCACGGTGGAGGATACCTGCCCTCGGTGCACAGTGAGTCCTGATCAGGTGAAATCAGTACGTGTACAACAGAGAGCTCCAGGTGCCAAACTGCTTTCTCAACATTGCCTTGCGCATCAGGTTGAAAACGGTCAATCTGAAAGCAAATCAACGGGCTGTCAGAGTCAAGGGCCGTGATCATGCCAACATATCAATGCCATTCATCAATCAGTCATTGCCTTGTCTCCTTGCCTCCTTTCATGTCTCCCCGCTTGTCTCCCTGTTGTACACAAAGATATTGAGGCTGGCGCAAGGAAAAACTTGCACATGGCGACTGCAACCGGTTTGCGCTATCCTTTGAGGAGAACAAGCGCATAGAACGGCGTCGGGCCCTCGGTGGCAGTGCCGGGTGGTGGCTGGGCTCTGGCGGCCAACATGAATAAGGATTGTAGAAGCAAAACGATTGCTGTTGCATACAAGGTACAAGCCCCTGGGTTCAGATGAGCTCTGCAGCTCTCCCCACTAGCGGGGTGCCTGCAGAGCCGCGTGCATGGTTGATCTTTTTGATCTTGGAGCTCCTGCTGAGCGCGCACTCTTGCCACTTGAAATTGTTTTAGTTGATTTTCGGTGTTGGTCTAGACGTGCTGACTGGACTTGCGTCTGGTTGATTCGCTGTCGGGTTCTATATACGTGATCACGACGCCAAGGTTTTTCAACTTGTGAAGCTCCTGGAAAAGCAATGCTGGCAGGAAATGGAAACTAAGGAAGAGCTGATGAGCTACTTTGCGGTTCATTGTGGAGCTTGCGCACAGATCTTCTTGGACACCAAGTCACTGGTCAAGAATGTCTTCCAACGTGACTTTCAGGCCCGTTGGACTTTGGACTTTGACCAGGACCCTTGACTGGGTTGGCCTCGACCACCAACATGCAGATACTCCTTGCCTGTGGTGCCACGCCGATGCTCTCTGACAACTCACTGCTGCCCGACGATTCTGAACTTCCCTGTGGCCAAGGCCTACTATGAGACTGATCTCAAGCACCGTGGCACAATTTATGGGGCGCCCCGGAATCGTGAAAGGTTTCCTGTTAGGTTTTGACCTTGAAGCGCCGCCAATGGGATTGGGGGATTGGCTTTACACTGACTCGCCTCACCCTGGGACAGAACATGTCCCCACAGATCCTGGCATTGCTTCTAAAGCTGGCGGCCTGCAGCTGACCTTGACCCTGCTACAAACCTGCCTTGCAGATCGACCTGACCTGGCCTAGCAACTGAGCAGCTGAGACCAAGGCTATGCCTTGGATTTTGAGTTGATTGCGCACTAGTTGACGGTCTTCTGACCTGCGAGATTGTCATGAATTTTGACATGTGTATGCGGCGTGAGGATGGCAGGCTCCGTGAAACCTTTTCACGTATGCCCCGTAGCTCTGAGAGACGAAGCCAAAGCCAAAAAAGCACTTTGTCTGCCGCAAGGAGACCCTTTCAGGCGGTCCCACTAGTGACCAGAGACGGTGGCAGGTAAGCCGTGGCTCGGTCCATGACTTGGATCTGTCCATGAGTGAGCTGGCTGAAAGAACGCTACGAATTTTTAAGGAACTCATGAGCATCACGCTGTCTTCCATCCGCCAATCCTTCCAGCAATCAAGCTCACGAACATCGACCCACAAGGAGCTGCGACCATTTGCAATTCTGCAAATGCACAAAGCCCCAGAAGAAAGCCAGCATTGTGGCGTGGACAAAGCAAAGGTTGTCCGGGTTGATCAGGCGTAGAGCCATCAAGGTGCACTTCACTTTCTCTTGTTGGAGCGGCCATTTGATGTCTTGCCCTCCTGCTGCTTGGACAACTTGACCAAGGAAGTGGCTAAAGGGCTCTCTCTCTCTCTCTCTCTCTGTGTATGCGGTCGAACCCTGCCAGCCAAATCGAGTTGTGGGCCAAGAGATTCAGGATGCCCCAGATCGTGGGCTCTGGAGCACTATGGCAGCATGATCTTGCAAGTGGTTTTGAATGATGGCTCCAGGCTTCACACAATGCCTGCGTCACAGAGCACACACGCAGTGCGGAGTGCTTGAATGTAGTCAGGCGTCGACAGGATGGTATCCGTTTCAGTGTTCTTGGCTAGAGTCATGAGTTCAGGCCACGTTTGTGGGATGTAACTGCCCAAGAGTCGATTGGGGTTGAAGGATTTGCAGCATCCCGTTTCAATGTGGCGCCTGAGCGCAAAATGGCTTCCTTGCACACATTGACAGTGAGCACACTTCTTATTGCCATCAGCACTGTCTCGACTTTGATGGAAGGTGCTCGTTGGCCGTCTTGGGAGTGGAATTTGCCTGGAGTCTGCAGGCTTGGGCGGCGCAGGAGCTTGAGGCTTACCCTGCACAATGTCCTCAGCATAGCGGAGTGCTCAAGACATCGACATGGTTTGACATCACGGAGTGCACTTTGACTCAGACCGCGTGTCAAAGTTCTCCCGGCGAAAAAATATCTGCCACAAAGCACGCAATTCTCTCTCAGGGTACTGTTCAATCAAGGCCATTCAAGCGTCAGCTTGAGCATGTTCACGAAAAATTGCTTGATCTGCGGCGGGGCCTGCGGCTGCAAACCAGTTCGGAAAAAAACGGAAAGCGGAGCAGCAGCCCCACACCCCCAACAGAGCCCACAACATGTCTTGTGAACAATGGGTGAAAATTGCCAATATGATAAAGGAGATGCCTCAGGATAGCCGCAGGCTGACAGCAAAAGACCACCATGGCCTAAAAAAGTAACCTACTTATACTTGTCGGACCTAAGTCTGTCACTGGTTTTACCGCAAAAAAAGTAACATAACAGCAGCAAAGCCTGCACCATAGATCCCACGGCCCCAATCACCTCCAACATACCCCCACGAGGAGCCTCAAGAGAGCCCCAACATTCGGCGAAACGTGACAAAGAATGCACCAAGATCGCCGAAGATTGGCGCAAACATGCCCGCATTTGACCGCCCATTGCAAAAAGCTTTCGTAAGCAACAAAAATGACAACCAAAGCCAACGCTGTCAAAACCACCTGTCTTACACTTGTCGGACCTAATTTTTTAATGGTGTTTAGTGTTTACGGTGTTTACGCACACTACTCAAAAGACCACGTGCCCAAGTCAAACGGCAAAGAAAAAGCAGCCAAGTGGACCAACATGACCGCAAAGCAAAGCCTTCAACATAGCCCTGATCTAGACCCCACGGCCCCAATCACTTCCAACATACCTCCACGAGAAGCGTCAAGAGTGGGTGAAATGCGAGGGATATGCCCTAAGAATGCGCCAAGATCGCCGAGGATTGGCACAAACATGCACCAAATTTGACCGCCCATTGGAGCCAGCTTTCGTAAGAAACAAAACTTAGGATGTTTACTTCCCTCTTTATTCGCTTTCTCGGTGAGGCATCTTGGGTTTGCCAGGAGCGATTTTTGAACCTACCAAAAATCAACAGAACGGGTGCTCCTGGGAGATGTTTTTCATGCAA